AATGCAACAGACCATTGTTAAGGAAAGGATATCAATCGCTTCTCGGCCTTTTGGCTAAGATCAAGTGTAGGAAAGGATATCATCCTCTCAAGTAACCATGCACTTGAATCTTTGGATTCAATAAGAATCTTATAACCACTCATTTCTCTTTATTGCTTTAGTAATGTTCATTATAATATTTGTAGAATAACTGTGTAAAAATATTATGTCTAGTCATACATAATCCTAACATTTGTCTTACTCTATGTTTAATCTAGAATTTACTTAGCCTTATTTTAAATATTCAAATTTTTAGTTATATTTAACATATATCTGGAAACTATTCAAATCATTTATTACACTAGGCAAAAAACAAAGAAAGAGAAAGAGGAAGGAGTAAGGGAGGAGAAAAGAGAAGAAGGAGAGAAAAGGGAGAGGGGCGAGGACAGAGGAAGGAAGGAAGGAAGGAAAGGAAACTAAGATGCTGGTCTGGGTTCCAATCCTTGGAGATGTACTTAAAGTTTGCCCCAAAGTCTGCTCTGTTCATGTTTGAAAAGCAAAATCCCACCACAGACTTGCGTGCCCTTGAAATGCACTTCCTCCGGTTTTCCTGGGCTCCTCGCGCCTGGACCTTCCGTTTCCTTTCTGATGTTTCCTGCATTCACAGCTCAGATTCTTCAGCACCAATGCAGACTTGCTCTGAGTCTTTTGAAATAGCTCCTTGAACATTGTGGAAGGGACCTACAGCGTTCATGTTATCACACTTGCGTTGTCTGCAATCATTTTGTCCATTTTTCCCAATTTTCTTACATCTTCCCCTCTTTCGTGGTATCACGATAATTAAAAACAATCAAAGGTTCTTGGCCTTGTCTTATTTCTACTTCTAGTTGCCCACAGGTTTCTCAGATAACCCCATAAACAGATATAGAATTTTCCTGTCCTGGGGGAAATTCTTGGCTGTTAGTATATTGACGTATGCACATACGCCTAAGTACATTCACACCAACCTGTATATATTTGTGGAAGGAAGAAAAGAAGAACGAAGGAGGAAATGCAGCTGCCAGTCAGAGAGCACTGAGGATGTAATGGCCAAAGCAGTGAAGGGTGAGAGAGATAGAATGTTCTGGTGGTCCGAATACTGACTTCCTTGGCAGCCTGGATTAGTGATTCGGAGTAAGTTATTCAACTTTGCTCTGTTTCCTTTGCCTCGATTGTGAAATCAGAACCCTAACCACAGCTTCCAGCTCATGAATTCTCAGAGATCTTCACTAAAGTAGTGTGCAACCGTGCCATCAACCCTATATAGTTGGCTGCTGTCATTTATTTGAGGGAGTTAATTCTGGGAGCCACTCTAGGGTGAAAAGAAACGCCTAGGGTCAGAGAGGGCTACACATGAAATCCAGAAAATATGATTCTAATAAGCACTGCATGCATTGGTCATATTTATTAGATAACTGTGTTACAACAGCCTTTTTATCAGCACCCTGTAGACACACATGCACATGAATGCATACCCCCTCCTCAAGGAAACTTTAACTTGACTATCTTGACATCTCCATTTTCTGAATCAAAGAATAGTAAGACGTATAGGACTCTGCAATAATTTTGACCAGAACTACAGGCAAAAATGGTAGGAAAGTGTTCTCTTCTTTCAAAGTTTTAAATACCTCCGTTTCTAAACCACTGCCTAGGTACAGAGAAAACACACCTGAGAGCAACTGACCCCATCAAAACCTGACGTGTTCAAAGACCGGAGATGTGGAAAAATAACCAGGATGCTGTGCATTACTTGCTGGCTTCTCACTCTCCTTGAGGGACACCATACATTATTCTGTTTTGTGACCACTTATATTTCAGTCAAGTGCCGTTTGTTTCTAAGAGCTCAGAGTAGAGCTCACCTAAGCTTCTTGGGCTGCTAGAGAAAGGAAGAAGATGTCAAGGTGGTCTCAGTCTCCAGGTACAATGACAACAAAGCTGATCACAGCTAACTCCATCCTTGCACTTGTATTCTCGATGTTGATGTAGATTTGAGCTGCTTCAAGGTTGTTCCTGTTAACAATTCATAATTAAATGTCAGAGGGACTCTGGAGTTGTGACCTGTTCGGTGGACTTTTATTCTTCTTCAAGTACCCTTAGTCATAGATGTACAGGAGATTGTAGCAGGAGAAATATCTAATTAAAGCCTATTACCGTGTCACCAAGAAGATTGAAAGGAGTAGTCTTTTGAATATAGTTTTGTGCAGATTTTTTTAAAGCAGGCTTTGCATTTCTGTTGGATGTTATTTTCAAGATAAAAGCACCACATTCCCTGAACACATTCTATTGTAAGCTTTCTGGCATGTAATCCTTTTATTCAGAAAACAAAAGAGGCTGAAATATCCTTCGCCTGAATCTGTGGACATAGTGCTGCACTTTTTCCTATAAATACCATTTTATAAAACCAGTTTTTATCTTGTTTATATTCCCTCCACATCTTTCCTTTTTTTTTTAGGTCTTTAAAATTTAGCTGCAAGAAAAGTGCTGTAGTCCGGAATCAGGTTTCCTTATCATTTTCCCAAAAGAATTGTGTACAATATTTATTTCCCTTGCACTGCAATTTAAAATGTAAGAGACTGTGCTGAACACTATCACTCTTCTCTCATCTCTTTATCAAGGCGATCTTACCCACATTTTTATATAATGAAGTGAAGCTCGCATCTCTTCATTTTCTGCACAGCCCACCGGAACTTAGACTTTGACAATCAATGGACTATTGGAATATTCCTCAAGGTAGCGCCTGTCTAATTCTCTTCAGTGGACAATTACCCTAAAACTTTAAAAAACTATGACTTTGTCATGCTCTGTGTATAGTAGGCATCCAGCAGTTGTTTAGTGCACGAGGAGGTGGTGAGTCAGGGTATCAGGATTCTCAAAAACCCTACGTACTCAAAGCAACAAGTCAGTCAGACTCTAAATGAAAAGTGGAGTTTTGACATTTTTTTCCTGTCTAAGTGAATATTTGGACCCAATTCCTAAGGTCTTTTTCTCAGGAAATCTTGGTTTTTAAAAATAAATTTCTGATGAACTTCCATTAAATTTCATGAGTCACTTCTTTTGTCCAAGGATTGCTGATCCTGTGGAGAGGAAAAGAATCCAAGGGTTCAGGTATTGGGTTTCCTGTGGTTTTTACATGAAAATTTCAAGCCAAAAAATGTACGCTAGATACAGGCTTACTGATCTAGCTTGGTTGTTGGATTCATAGATGAAATGAAGTTGGTTAATTTTTAAGAGGCTTACTCAGCATCATATCTTTCTATTTCAAAACATCTGAGGAATTTAAAGAATGAAAAATCTTCACTGTGCCTCTGATTAAAATTACACTTGATACTTGATAATAGAGGGCAAAAAAGAGTAGAGGAAGAGAAATTAAACATGTTGATTGGAAAGGCACATAAGAAATTAGAATTCCAGAGTACAAACAGACCTATTTTTAAGGCTAGCCACTTTTAAAAATGTCTAGACACTCAGAGGTATCAATGGTTATATGGAACACATAATGCCTCCAGGAATTTAATAAGAAGAAAAATATAAGCTCTTTTAAAATATCTAGTACTTTTGCTATCATGGGAACAGTATAAGAATTTTTTTAGAATCCAAGAAAAGTAATAGCATTCAAGCTTTTGCAGGTTTTTCCCGAGAAAGGTGTTTTGTTTTGTTTTGTTTTGTTTTGTTTTGTTTTGTTTTTTGAGACAGGGTCTCACTATGTAGTTGAGGCTGACCTGGAACTCACTGTGTAGCCCAGGCTGGTCTCAAACTCACAGCGATCCTCCTGCCTCAGCCTCCCGAGTGCTGGGATTACAGGTGAGTGCCACCACTCCCAGAAGATTTTTGGGTTTTTTTGTTTTGTTTTTAAGAAAAGTGAGAAACAGTTAAAGGAAAATATGTTTCCATCTTTTTAAGAAAATTATTTTCAATTTTCAATAATGTGCGGCACACCTACAATTAACATAACTTGTATAAGTATAATTCTCTGAAAGCACTGGGGAACGGGGGGTGGGCTTTATTTGGGGATTTTTTTTTTAACCTATTTTACCTACTGTCCATCCAGGACACTTCCAGGAATGCTTGGCCCAGCTCACCACTATCGAGGGATTCTCTGTAGTGATCTTCAGTAGATTCTGTTTAGTAATGAAAAGGAGTTTCTTAAGAGCTGTTTAAGGACAATCGGAACAGTGCTAGTGTTACTAACGGCTGTCCGCGAGCCTGCACTGCTGAATGCGGGGTAGTAATTGTGTTATTAAAATGTAACAGAATCATCTAAATTCGTTCCGTTTTAAGGTGGAACTCCAGTCCCTCCTCCCCAAGTGCCCATGGTGCGGCCAAGAGCAGTTCTCAGTCCTGCTGTGCTTCGGCTCCATCGCTCACGGCAGGAAGGCTTCACTTGCCCACGTGGTCCTTCCTCTCCCTGACACCAGTCTTTCAGAACGGTGACTTGCTCATAAAGGACTTCGCGTGTGCGTCTGAGAAGCGGCCCCAGGTCTCCCGCAATTAAACGCGTCATGTTATTTTCTGTTGTCGACACAAATTATGTAGCTGGGGGAAATGAGGCAAGATTCTGAGATCTGCTTCTTCTGCACCCTCTTCCCTGTCTCCCAGGCCTGATACTTCTCTGGGAAGCAGTGCGTGGGTTGTGGGTGTTTCTACAGACTATTCCACATCCTCTCCTGTCCTTTCCACTCTGGTTATTCTTGGTCTACCGAAATCTGTTTATCTGTTTCAGGTCCATTTTTATTTAGATTATCAACCTCTGATTATGTATAGTTCCTCTCTCTCTCTCTCTCTCTCTCTCTCTCTCTCTCTCTCTCTCTCTCTCTCTCTCTCTCTC